TCTTTTCCATACTTCTTTCTGTACTCATTTATTCATTCACTAAATACTTGAGTGTCTTGTGATAATTCACTCCACCTCATAAAGCTTAGAATTTGGTCTACTTGATAATTTTCAAATTTAGACAACCTTTTGGACTTGAATTATATAGCACAGTAGGTTTTCAGCTAAGCAATCTCTCTTATAGTCATGTTTTCAAACTTGTAAAAGCAATAGAATGGACCTTTTTTTTTTCTGAGAGAGACTTTATTCAGAACCTTGGGGGGAGGTGCTCCCCTAAGCTGCTTCTTACATCCTCCTTATTTATTTCACTCTCATGGTAGTTCTGGAAGCACCTCTAGAGACTGTCCTTAACAGAGTATGGGAATTTGAAGCTTCATAAAAGGCACATTGAAGGCTGTTGACTATAGGATTTATAATAGGATCTGTTTATATATTAGGAAATCTACAAAGCACATTAAAATAATTTTAATATTTTAAGCAATTTGATTTATTAAAGTTTATACTTTGTGTAACACTTCAGGAACTTACTATATAAAGTCAGTCGCAGTTACCACAATTTATTTTGATCAAATTACTAATGGAGGTTTGTACCTTGAAATATAAACAGTAAGTCTTATGGAAGACTTTCTTCGGCAGCTAGAAACTTCTTTAATATGTTAGTTCAGTATGACAAATAGAAGAATTTGTATGACAGCTTTCACAGCATTAAGTGAAATTACCCTGAAAGCAGTTTCCCTTCAATCAAATCTTCTCCTTTAGTAAGTGTGGCTGACTGACTATATTCATTTTTCTTACTTTGTAAAAGATAGTATGAAGCTATTTCTGTTTCACTGTCCAGTTTTCTAGGTTATAATTGAACCAGCTTTCTGTAGTCTGGACAACATTGTTAAAAAATACCAAACTGTAACAGCTGTGATAAAGGGAAATCCTAGGTAATTGAGGTTATTTATTTATTTGTTTATTTTAAGTGCATTAGCCATGTTAAAAAATTAGGTGTAAAATGTTGGTGCTTCTGAAGTGAGGACAGTTTTGTTGATGTTGGTCGGTCTGGCTTGGACTTAATGTGTGCTTCGTGATTATTTTCCTCTTTTCAGCTTTTGCGTGTATATTCTTTGCTCATTTGAATTTTCTTCCTATTCTACTGCAGTGGTTCTCAAAAAGGCAGAACTATTGTATTTTCATAATCATACTAAGGCATTATCGATTTTTCACTATGTTGACGTTTGCATTGCTGGTGTAAAAGCACTGGTGTGTAAAATTGCTTTGCTTGGCTTCCTTAGCACGATCCCAGCCAGTAGTACCAAACCGTGCTAGAAGTCATCATACTCTTCACTACCATGCGTTCACCGTAAAAAGCAAAACAAAGAAGTTGCTAGTATTACGTACGAATTTTGTTGATGAAGTAGGATATTCTTAATTTTAATAAACTTCAGTGTTTGAGCACGTATCTCTTTAATATGTTGTGCAATAAAAGAGGAAGTATGTGAGCACTGCCTGTGGCTCAGTGAGTAGGGCGCTGGCCCCATATACCAAGGGTGGTGGGTTTGAACCCGGCCCCGGCCAAACTGCATCAAAAAAATAGCTGGGCATTGTGGCCAGTGCCTGTAGTCCTACTTCTTGGGAGGCCGAGGCAAGAGAATCGCCTAAGCCTAGGAGTTGGAGGTTGCTGTGAGGTGAGGTGCCATGGCACCCTACTGAGGGTGACAAAGTAAGACTCTGTTTCTTAAAAAAAAAAAAAAAAAGGAAGTATACTTAAAGCATTTGTGCATACTGAGGTAGGATGATTAGCTCAAGGAAAATGACTTGCTCAGTTGTTGGAGTGGTGAGCTGAAGTAGTTGCTTTTTTTTTTTCTTATAGAATACCGTTTTTACTCGAAAAATGATAGACTGATGTTACTCAAATTTGAGTGTTTGGTAGATACTTCAACAATAACAACAAGAACATAGCAATTTACTTCAACCATGTAGTATTTGTTGCTAGTAATTGATCTTCTGAACTAAAATTAAAATTTTAGAGAACTTGTATTTGCCACCTTGAGCTTGACAGCTTCCCAGTAGTACTTTAATAATACTTTTCCATTGAAATTGGTGGTGCTATTAATAAATGTGACTCTTGGTATTAAATAATGAAATGACTCAATGTTTGGAAGATTTTTGTAATCTAATAAAGTAATATTTCCATATTATCAATGCATGATAAGAAATCATGCGTATGTTAAAGGTCCTTTTAATGTACAGGATGGACTAGTTGATTTTAATTTGGATGAAAAATTTAGTCATAGATTTTCAGATTCCATGATGTGGTTATCTTTAAGAAACTTCCCCTTGCTGAGTTTGGGTGTGGTATCCATCATTACATGAAAAGGCTGTGAAAATGTATCTCCTTTTACTGATGATGTATCTGTAGTGAGATCATATTTTCATCATCTACTCCAATCAAAATAGTATCTGAACAGGTTGAAGGCAGAAGCTGATGCTACACTAATCTAACTATTTTTTACTAAGTCAGATGTTAAAGAGATTTGTAATTATGTAAAACATGCCACTCTTCTCGCTATAAGATTATGTTTGGAAAATATTTTCCAAAGAAAAATTTTTCATAATTATGTGTTATATATGTTATCATGTAATTGTTTATAATTTTTAAATGAATAAATGTTTTAAAATTTTTTCAATTTTGATTTTCAGTGTGGTAAATATTAAATATTTGTAATCTATGTAAATACAAAGCTCTTTAGAATCTTCAAGCTTTATGTTAAAGGGGTCCCGAGTCCAGAATGTTTGAGAATAGCTTTAGAAGTGCAATTGAGAAACATGACTTTGTTAATACTGGATTAATTATAATCTTTTTCTAAAGAACTATGAAGCATTCAGATTAGATTTGAATCTGTTTGGAGAGGTTTAAACATGGTTCATCTAACACAGTGATTAAAGACAGAACATGGGGCTAGAACCAATGTGAAACCAGAAAGGTAATTGGTTAGGTAAGAAGAGAATCCAAACCCAGACCGCTGAACCTCCGTCCTGAAAGCTGTTTTATCCAAGTGCAGTGGTTTTCAGGCTTAGTCTGGATTTCTTTCTTATTTCTTTTCAAATGGTATTTCTTTGAGAATTCAGTCTTTTTCTGTTTGTTTAATTTATGAATTACAAGGGCCCATCATCATGGCAAAAATACTGCTAATATGTAGCACTATTTACATCTGCTATACGTTTATTAAATATTTTTATCTTGGAACTCAGGATTTTCTTGTAATCTAGGATTTAGTTCTTAATTTTTATAGTGTCAGGACAGGTCACTTTAAAATATCAAAGAAGAACAAATTAAAAATTTCAAGCTAAATTTCATATATATTCTTTCCTATATAATATTGAGTATATATTTTGTAATATATTCAAATGTGGATTTCTTAAAATCGTTTGAACAGATAAGTACTGTGTGCTTTGCACCCAGATATGAGGATATTCCCTGTCCTAATGAAACCTGCCTGATGGCAAGATAATTATGAAACTACTTCAAATATAATACAGTCACTGTTTAATAGAATTCTATGTAAGGTGGAGCTGGATTCCCTGCTAATTCCCTGGAGCTGGTTAAAGGAATTAAAGAAGCCTTCACACCAGAATTAGTGCTGGACCTGAGAGTTAGAAACCTCATAGAAGTTTGCCTGATGAAGAATTTCAAGGAGAGCAACCCAAGTTCAGGAAATAACATGTGTTAAAGGCAGTAGGCATTAGGAAGTATGGTTTGTTTTGGAATGTATAATAGTATTTCTGTAGTGTCCAGGGCAAGGATGAGTGGCAGGAGTTAGAACAGGATAGGAGATAGGGGTCACATTATAGAAGACCTCTGTGTCATGCAAATTCATTTTGATTTTATCTGGCAGGCGGCAGAAACTCTTTAATTTTGAGCAGCAGATTAACAGGCTGTGATTAGAATTTTAGAAGGTATCTCCGTGGTAGCAGTATAGAAGGACCTGTAGTAGGAGGTGAGGATGGAGACAAGAAGCTGGTAGACTGCCTCAGGAATTCAGACTAGGTGATGCCTGGCAGTTGATTGTAAGTTGTGTGGGACAGGTGTTAGTTAATGCCAGTATGCAGTAAGGTGGTGTCAAATAAGATGAGGTTTTAAAGGAATTACTGAGCCAACCCCATGTATAGTTCAATGTACATGTTATGCCTTCTTTACATTTTTTTATATCCTTAAGTTACTAAATAATTTGCTTATGAGGTGTTTCATCCAGAGGAAGTCATCTGTCTACACCTTACCCTTTCATTTCATTTGTGTTCCTATGTTCCTACCATATATTTGTCAAAACCATTCTCTGAAGGTTTTATAATTTGTCATTGTTACATTTCCAATATTTTGGCATTAATAACACTGAAATTAAAGTGAAACTTTTTATTGTAAAGTCAGTATTATAAAGGGCATTGAGAAATGGGTAGTTTTCCAGTTTTAGTATAATTGTCCCTACCAAGTTACTTTCTAGATTAAAGAAGGTTTGTGATTTTATGTTTGTGTTGAAATAGTAGGTCAGTTTAGAATAAGGTGAGGGAGTTGTACCAAAATTTGCTGTCAGGAAGAATTCTCTTATTTTCTCTTCTGTCCTCTTATCTGCTAACTTGAATTTTATCCTTTTCTCACTAAAATGCTTGCACTGAGAAGGACGTAAACGTAAAAAGCACAAAAAACATTTTAAGAAACCTTTTAAAGGTCTTGATCGCTCAAAAGGTAGGTAAAGTAGTTTTTATGCCAGTGTTGTTTATACACATTGCCGCTTGATTTCTGTCTCAGAAGGTAAAATGAATGTTGGAGTACCCGTTAACTTCATGAATAAGTTTAAAGTTGAATATGCATATTAAATCCAAACTCGATCTGAAATAAAGACGTTAGGATAGACTGTAATTTCCATTGAGTAGTGCTTTACTTATATTTTGGTCATTAATTATGAGATATGTGAGAATTTTCAACTCTTGAGCTTGTATCTTTCAATTTTTTATAGATAAGCCAAAAGAAGCCAAAAAGGATACATTTTTGGAAAAGTTGGCAACCCAAGTAATAAAAAATGTACAAGTAAAAATCACAGATATTCACATTAAATATGAAGATGATGTAAGTAACTTTTGTTTACTTGGTTTAAGTTAGTAATTAAATGTGTATTTTCTGATACTCTTGAATTAACTATATATGGATTATATATAATATATATAGTGTGTCCATTTTCAAATTCAAGATTTTCTTTTCCTGATGAGTACACTACCATATTTTCTTTCCTGTGTTAGGCTACTTTTATTGGGCATTTAAATATGTAAATATCATTAAATTACCATCTCCTTTCTGAAGCTGATTTAAGAGATTTTTGGATTGTCCTTTTATTTTTTTGAATTTTGTTTTATATGTTAATACTCATGGGGACTAATTTTTGCTTTTTATTGAGGAAAGAATTAGTTCCAAAAGGTGATGAGAGAACTAATGCTGATAGTAGTTAGCCAGAAGAGGACTAAAACCCTGTCGCTTGACCATTACGAAAACTGCATAGAAACTTTGAAAACAAAACTATCGTTTCTCATTTAATGAACAATTTGTAATTTTTTATCGTTTTCTGGGCATGAGTTATATGCAGGTCACTCAGCGCTAGAATTAATTTTTACATTGTACATGGTGTGAGTTGTATGTGACTCGTGACATACTAAATTTGTTTCTGAGAATTGAGTCTTTTGTCATCCCACAAGTATTTACTTGTGTCTGGAGTGGACCTTGGGGGGTCCCAAATGACCTCTAAATCATACCTTCTAAGTTAGTGCAATAATGTTACGTTGCTGCATACATCATATCGATTTTGTTCTAAGAGCTGCCAGGCCAAAAATTCAGGGGAAAGTGCGTAGTCAGAAGTTATAGTAATTGGAGAACATGGTCTAGGATGTGTGGTGCGCTTGGGTGGGCAGCTGAAGCAAGGCCACATGATATGGCGGGAGACGTGTGGATTGACCGTGAAAACAATGAGCAGAGGTTTCATAGGGTGCAGGTGTGCCATGGACCTTCTTGCCTATCCGTAACTGTATGCTTCATGGGGCCCCAGGTTCAAAACTAGTGTGAGTTAAATACAACTCACGTGACATTTATTGTGTTTATTGTATATAGAAAAATAATGAGAAATACAGTGTTAGAAATGAGTGTGAGAACATAACAATAATTTATTATTGATTAATAGCAGTCATTTGTAGGAAGTGCATTAACTAAACCAAGTTGTGTTTAAACTAGTGAAAATTTATTTCTTCTGAATTAACTACAAGTTATTTTGAGCTAGTTGTCTATAGGTATAAAAAGATAATTGTGGAAATAAAGTAAAATGTTTGGCCACAACTTATTGTATATCTTATACTAATTAAAAATAAGGCTCACAAAGCTAGTTGTGTTTTTTACCCATACCAGAGCCTGCATTTTTTTTTTTTTATTTGAGAAGGTTCCATGTAACTACACTGTCTTAGTTAGAGGGTTTAGAAGGCTGTACTTATCCCATCTCCCTAGGTTCCCTAGTTTCTGTCATGACTAAAAATTTTCTATGACATCTGAACATCTTTAAGATGTCTGAAACTGGCACTGTACACCTTGTTTAAGCACTGTATAAAAAAGCAGAAATAGAACAATAATTTAACATAGGCAGATTTTGGATAGAGAAACAGGAAATTTAGTTTTTCTGAACAAAAGATTTTTTAGATATCAAGAATATTAAAGTCATAAGGACACAGTTCACATTCCTAAGTGTGAAAACCTTAAATGTTTTAAAAATGATTTAGGGGTATATTATCTGTGACACTTTTTTAAGTTGATCTATGAAGAGCATCTTTAACGATACACATAAAAAGACCGTCCCTTTTCCAGGGGTCCTCGAACTTTTTAAACAGGGGGCCAGTTCACTGTCCCTCAGCCCATTGGAGGGCCGGACTGCGGGCCCCGGGATGAGTCGATTGCTAAGCAGGACAGGCAGCAGCGGCAAAAACACCCAACGGGCCAGATAAATGTCCTTGGCGGGCTGCATGTGCCCCGCAGGCTGTAGTTTGAGGACGTGTGTTATCTTCTAGTAAGGAAAGGATTCCATGGAGAAAGTATCATATAAGTGTCGTAGAAGTATCATGCCTATAAAAATGGATAATCCCAGCCTTCCTCCCCTTTCTTTTCCAAAAATACAGCTAGATTGTGTGACTTACATATAAGTACATTTCTATCTGCTGCCTATTGTAAAGGGCAGGGCACGGATCCACCCTCACCATTCGTATATTTTAATGTCACTGTTCTTGTTTCGTAGATCACTGATCCAAAGCGGCCTCTTTCATTTGGTGTCACACTGGGAGAACTTAGTCTATTGGTAATGTTGGCTTAATTTATAATTTCTGTGGAACTGGGTATTCTAAAGTTACAGGGTGAATTGCCTAAAATCAGCTAATCAAGAATTGCTACAAAGAGCTATTATATTTTGAATGTATTACCCTGCTAGCTTTTCTAGAAGTTTAATGTTTTTAATGATGCTATGATTAATATTACATTTTCTGATTATTTTGATTTGTCTTTCTAAGTGACAATTATTTAAACATTATCAAAAAAATTGAAAGAAATAAAAACTACATTTTAAACATGTAGGGAAAGAAGAAGATAAATTACTGTAGCATAATGTAATCACCCTTTGATACAGGTAATGGAACTTCTAAATAGCTTATACTTGTATGTGTGTTAAATTGGGAGGTATATAAGATAATTCACTTTGATTAAGTATTTTGTAATACAGTTTTTCTCTTAAAGATCTTTAAGGGTAGAAAGTTGTGTATATATAGGCTGGACATTTTTTTTTCTGTTATGGATAATGCAGTAGTAGGAAATATTTGGGGGCATTTCAGTGAAGAAAAATAGCTAAATTAGGTTTTTCTTAGAAAAAGATGTGGCTCACACATATACTTTGAAAGTTAAGGGCAGCGAACCATAAATCATACCAGGTAGAGCAGCGGTTCTTAACCTGTGGGTCACAACCCACAGGAACTGTACTAAGGGTTGCAGCATTAGGAAGGTTGAGAACCACTGAGGTGGAGGCTTCCTTATGATTAGTTATACAGAGAAGGCCTCAGGAGAGAAGAGGAAGAAAAATGGAAGGGAGGTGGACTGGTAGAGAACAGCAAGAAAGCGGTTGTGTGAAGACTTAAGAATGATCTGTGCTCATAGAGAAGTATAGAGGGGCATCAAGGTGAAGAACAGAGCAGAAACAATAACGAGAGACCTGCAGAAACAAAGGCAGTCAAGGAAGCCAGTGTTAATCTTTACTTATTTCCCAAATGAATTGGAAGTAGCTCTCAGTAAAAAAGAAGAGTACACTGACACCTTTAAAGCTACCAGAATCTGTTCTGAAGGATAGAGAGAATTCTTCCTGAAAACTTGGACTGACAATAGTTATCATAAGGGAACACAGTTTATATAACTTTGAGCTTCTAGAAGACAAAACAGAAAATAGAGAATAGTCTTGTACTTCCCTTTGTCTGATAATAGGCGTACTAGTGTGTAAAACTATATAGTTTTTTTGGTGTCTGCTGTTGTTTGAGCCTTTGCTCAGACTCTTTATACTTAATTATTTGCTTGTGTTACTCTCTTCCCTTTGTCTGCCTGTGATTCTGCTGAGGTTTTAATACTTATGTGATACATTACCTTGTCTTTCTCATTCTCTTAGAATATCAGACCTGCAATGTATTATTGTACTTCTTAAACCATGCTGATCTCCTATCTAAATTATGTTCATTTACTGATGTAACAGTACTTATCTTTTAGTGGTTTTGTAATGATTAAGTGAGATACAATACTTTGTATAAAACAGTTGACACATTGGCTCAATTATTTCCTGATTCAGTTACTTCTGTGGCTATTACAGTGACAGGAACAGTAAATCTGTTGCTTTTATTTCCATACAATTCCTTTCTTCTATTTTTCCAATTACTATCTCCCTTTTAAATCTTACTTTCCCACCTCTGATGTGGATCTCATCTTACTGACTCCTTACCTGTTGTGTCGTGATTCTACTCACTGCACTAGCACTGTTCTTAACCAGTTGATGAGTAATGCCCTCACTGCTAAGTAAGTTTGATACATGGCTTTGCTGACCATGGTGTCCTTTTGGAAACATGGTCTGTGCAGTGATTTCCATGCTCTCCTGGTTGCCTTCCTGTTTTATCGTAATTATTTTATTCGTTTGATTTTTTTTTTTTTTAAAGAATGTATACTCTTCAGTAGTGTGTAGGCTGGCTACTTATTTTCATTCATACCCACTTCTTTCCACAGTTCACTCACATAGTAACCCAATAATTATTTTCTGAACAAATGTAGTCAGTTAAACTGTAACCTCCTCAATTCTGTTTTCATTGTTTTTTGGATTTTACCGTTTCATATGTGGAGAAACAGCTGACATTAGCTAACATCAGCTTTCAGGGGTTCTCAGCCAGTGGGTTGGGACCCTTTGTAACAGTGAAAATACATCCCGGCATTAGGAAGGTTGAGAGCCACGATTTTCTTCCTCAGTTATTTTGTTAGAGTTTAGAAGCTTCAGAGCACCATTGCATGACATCTGTAGCACATTTCAGTTGTTTTCTTTTTCTTCTTTTAGACTGCAAACGAACATTGGACTCCATGCATATTAAATGAAGCAGAAAAAATTATATACAAGGTATTATTAGAACAAAATTTTTAAAATTAGTTTCCTAGGTGTAAACACTTCATGTATGTTCTTGGAGACACCTTGATGAAGCCGGAAGTGCCACTGGAATGTGAATCGAAAGTGTCTGGTTTTGGCTTTCCTTTTTTATGGGACCTTGTAAATAGTGAACTATTTTAAATTGCACATGAACTTTATGTCCACCATGTATTTTCTGGTCAAGTAAGATGACTGATAAAAATACTAAGCTACACATAATTACACAGGTATGTTTCATTTTCTTTTGGACTACAGGACTGCACAGTACTTTAAATATGCTAATAAACATTGCACATCTCTAAGCGGGATGTTTAGCGTGTGGCTTCCCTCACCTTGTTGATCACCTTGTTGTTGACACTCCTCCTACCACTTCCCTTCTGGAAACAGTCTTTCATATCTGCTGGAGGGATCAGTGTCTCTCCCCATTTTTGCATTACTTCTTTTAGAATTTCGGAATTGTTGATAGGTAATTTTAGAGTAATAAACGTGAGAATAATACTTTAATATTGATTCATAACTTCATTGTGTTAGTTGCTTGACCTTTTTATTTTTCTTTTACAGATTATACGACTTGATAGTCTCAGTGCCTACTGGAATGTGAACTGCAGAATGTCTTACCAGGGATCAAGGGAACAAATTTTGGTAATTTCAATTTATACCTGGAAGAACTAACTACACTTCCTAAATTTGTTTAATACAAGAGATCCTTAATAAAGACAGATTATCAGTCATTTGTTTATCTTCTATGTCACTCAATCAGAAATGCAAAGAACAGTTTTTGAAATCCACTAATTTTCAAAAAAGCATGTTTGTTTTTGAATATCTTTGTGCAGTCATTCACTAGATAGTGACATTAAAACCTATACGAGTAAATTAAAAGAACATTTATGGTTTTTTACACTCTCATTTTGGTGGCATTTTTCTCATATTGTGGTGTTTCATATGAAAATGATTAAGAGTGTTACAAGAAAGATGGTAACTTTCAAATATTAAGTATATATTTTTGGCAAATGTTTTAGGTATTGTGGTGATGATTTCTTGAGTGGTGGATTAATTCAGAACTTCTGTATGCTAAACTAAGTCATGTAGTTTATTTAGGAGAGAAAGAAAAAACAGTTGAATTTTCTGAAGGGGGTTAAGTTCAAGATTCTACCTCTTTATTTCTCAGAAAGATAACTTAGACCAATAATTTGCCTTTGACTAGAATGTGTTTGGGAGCCCAATTAATGGATATGCATATTTTTTCTCAGTGGGAAACATGATATTACAGTATTTTTTCCAGATATTTGGAATATTAAAAAAGATCTGCTTCTGCATCTTTTTACTAAAGAAGTACATTTAAAAATAATACTTAGGCTCGGCGCCTGTAGCTCAGCCGGCTAAGGCGCCAGCCACGTACATCTAAGGCGGCGGGTTTGAATCCAGCCCAGACCCACCAAACAACAATGACTGCTGCAACCAAAAAATAGCTGGACGCTGTGGTGGGC